CAGAAAGCCAGACTTTGTCCCCTACTTTGAATGACACGTCCCGTCTGTGTTTGTTAGTCTTGTTGGCTTGTTGTTCTTGTGTTCTTTCAAGGGCTTCGGTTGCTTCTCTGAGGAGTCTGTTCATTGTTGCTATCCATTCATTGAGAGAGGGGCAGGGGGTGGAGGGGCTGAGTTGCGAGAGAAGCAAGAAATCAGAGGGCAAGCGGGGATGGTAGCCAAGGTCGAGGTAGAAAGGGGACATGCCAGTGGAGGGGCAGACAATATTGTTGTAGGCAATTTCGGAGGTTGTGAGCAACTGATCCCAATCGTGTTGGTGTGGGTTACAATACTTCCGCAGGATTTTTTGGAGTGTATCGTTCATCTTCTCTGTTTGTCCATCGGTCTGTGGGTGGAATGCAGTGCTATACTTGAGCGTGGTTCCGTAGGCCGTGAAGAGGTGTTTCCAGAATTGTGAGAGGAAGCGAGGATCACGGTCACTGATGATGTTCTCGGGGAGGCCGTGATGGCGAGCAACATGGTCGAAGAATAGTGTGGCGACGTCTTTGGCACTGTGCGAGGTCGTGCAAGGGATGAAGTGGGCACGTTTGGTCAAGCGGCAGACAATGACGTAGATGCAATCATGCCCGTGGTCGGTCTTGGGGAGGCCGCACACGAAATCCATGGAGATGGACTGCCACCGGTGCGTTGGGATGGGCAATGATTGGAGTTTGCCGGGTCTGGCCCGGTTCGAGGGGTTGACAGCTTGACACGTGAGGCACGAGCGAATGTATGCCTTAACGTCGACGAGTAGGGAAGGTCAGTAGAAGTAGCGGGAGATGGTGTCGAAGGTCTTCTGGAAACCGAGATGTCCTGCGGTCTTGGCATCGTGRTGCTCRGCCAAGAGCTGAGTACGGAGGCCTCGTGCGTCGGGGATGCAAAGTCGGCGAGTGCCTTTGGTAATGATGTAGAGGAGATTRTTGTGAAGGGAGTAGTCGRGAACTGAGTCAAGATCGCGGAGCTTGTTGTAAATGGTSGCGAAGTCTGAGCAGGAGAGATAGCCTTGGGTGTATCGGTGATGAAGTGATGGAAGGAGTTGAATATGAGTCATGGTGGCGTAGACTTTCTCGGGGGGCTTGTGGTCGGGTCGTCGCGAGAGGGCATCGGCAACGCGGTTGCTTTTGCCGGGAATATGGCAAATGGTGAATGTGAACTAGGCAAGGAAGTCTAGCCAGCGGGCTTGGCGTGGAGTGATATCTTTCTTGGAGAGGATGGAGGAGACGATGGTGTTGTCAGTGCGGATGGTGAAGTACTGCCCGTCGAGGTACGGGCGCCAGACTGTGAGGGCGTGGATCACGACGAGGAGTTCCTTCTCGTTGGAGGGGTAATTCATCTCCGCGGGAAGGAACTTCTTGCTTGCGAAGGCGATAGGGTATTCGCCAGGTGGAGCCTCGGGGTGAGTGGGCGAGTCCTTGATGGAGGGGGTCTTGGCGGTGTCGCGGGGGAAATGTTGGGACAGTACGGCTCCGATGGCGAAGTCGGAGGCGTCAGTGGTGACATAGAAATGGCGAGTGGGGTCGGCGATCTTGAGGACAGGGGCCGTGGTGATGGTTTGCTTGAGTAAGTCGAAGGCTTGTTGGCGGCGATCGTTCCAATGGAAAGGCTCATCCTTGCGGGTGAGTTCGTGGAGAGGGTAAGAGATCTCGAAAAAGTTGCGAATGAATGGGCGGTAATAGTTGGCAAGGCCAAGGAAGGAACGGAGTTGGAGGAGGGTCTTGGGTGGGGGGTACTCGACGAGGGCTGTGACCTCCGAGGGGTCCATACGGATGCCTTTAGCGGAGACAATATGGCTGAGGTATTCGACGCTCGAAGCGGCAAACGTACATTTGCTGAGCTTGGCGTAAAATTTTTGCTCTCGGAGGATCGCGAGGACTTGGCGGAGGTGCTGAAGGTGGGACTCGAAGGTGGGGCTGAAGACAAGGATGTCATCAAGGTAGACAACGATACAGACTTCGAGGAGGTTGCGGAAGATGTGGTTCATGGTGGATTGAAAGGTAGCGGGGGCATTGGTGAGTCCGAATGGCATCACGAGGAACTCGTAGTGCCCGAACCGAGAGCGAAAGGCAGTCTTGTGAGTGTCCTCTTCGCGGATACAGATCTGGTGGAAGCCACTACGAAGGTCGATCTTGGTAAAGAACTTGGCTCCACGGAGACGATCAAGGAGCTCGGAAATCCGAGGTAGGGGTACTTGTTCTTGATCGTGATCTGGTTCAAGGCGCGGTAGTCTGTGCACATGCGGAGTTCCGAAGTTCCACCTTTCTTGACGAAAAGACAGCTGGTTCCGAAGGGGGATGAACTTGGCTTAATGAACCCTTTTTCAAGGAGTTCACCGAATTGCCGTTTCATTTCTTCGGCTTCGGGGACAGAGAGTTGGTATGGAGGGCGGCAAGGTGGAGAATGTCCGGGTTCCAAATCGATGGTATGCGATACGCCACGATCCGGAGGTAGTCCGGCGGGTAAGGACTCGGGAAAGACGTCCCTGAACTCGTCGAGGATTGAAGTGATGGTGGGACTTTCGCGATCAAGGACAAGACAGTAGTAGGCGGAGTCGGGGTTTAGGTGAGCCATGTGGAGGAATTGGTGCGGGGTGACAGAGCCTTGGGAGGTCGGATATGGGAGATAGGGGATGTCAATGGTTGTGGCGGGGGGGTTGGTGAGGCGAAGGAAGTTGGGGTGGAATGCGTATGGCATGTAGCGGTCCAG